GTCAGACACACTGAGATAATATAAGGGTAATGATGGAGAGATCGAGTAACACCATGGCAAAACACTGGAAAATTGATGAAATGGAAGGATAAATTGATAGAGACATCGCGTAAACTATTGCACGATTGAGTAAAACTGGAGGAAAAAATGTGAAAAAAAACACTGGGGAGACTGGAATGGAGGGGAAAATGATGTCGAGTAAAACTACGGAAAAGCAATGGAAAAAACTGTGGCTTCGATGTGAGACCATTAGCGATGGAAAAGCAATGGAAAAATCGAGGGACTATGATGAAGAAGTGGAGTAAAACAATGGAAAAATTGCGGCTCTGATGTGGGACCAAAATGATGCCAAGTAAAATAAGAGTAAAATGACGGAAATTGATGGGATGGAAACACAATGGAAAAATTGAGGCTCCGATGTGGGACCATTATCGCGTAAAGCACGCGTGAAACAATGGAAAAGCAATGGAAAAACTGCGGTTTGGATGTGTGACCACTATGGAGTAGAAGCATGTAGAAGCACAGAAATAAAACCATGGAAGAAACGAGCAAAACCGTTTATACGGTGCAACGGTAGGGATTGTGGGAGGTGCATTTGGGTAAGCGTTAGACACACTGAGGTAACATAAGGGTAATGATTGAGAAATCGAGTAACACCATGGCAAAACACTGGAAAAATTGATGAAATGGAAGGAATCCTCCCTCTTCCTCTTCTTCTTCTTCGCACCCACCTTCGCACTCCCCTGGCTTTCGTTCCTCCCTTCTCAGGTTCCGCCATATCAACTGAGCCTGAAGGCCACTGGGCGAAACCGAAAAACCCAGGATGTCAGTCTAGTGTTTACATGTTCTGGCACGTACATGTAGTCTGATGGCCATTGGGCAGAGCCGAAAAAACCCAGGATGCCAGTCAACTTTTTACATGTTTCGATGCGTTCACTCCGTCTGATGGCGACTGGGCAAAGCCGCGAAAACACAGGATGTCAGTCCAAAACCCAGTATGTCAGTCTAGTGTTACAGGTTGTGATGCGTAAACCCCATCTGGTGGCCACCGGGCAAAGCCGGAAAAACCCACGATGTCAGTCTAGCGTGTACATGCTGTGACGCGTAAACTCTGTCTGATGGGGACTTGGGCAAAGCCGCAAAAACCCTGGATGTCAGCCTATAGCGCTCAGATGTTGTGACTCCGTCTGATGGCGACTGGGCAAAGCCGAAGAAACCCAGGATGGCAGTCTAGTGCTTACATGTTGCGACGCGTAAACTCCGCCTGATGGCCACCGGGCAAAGCAAAAAAAAACAGGACGTCAGTCTACTTTTTACATGTTTCGATCCGTTAACTCTGTCTGATGGCGGCTTGGCAAAGCCGCACAAACCCAGGATGTCAGTCTATAGTGTTTACATGGTTTGATGCGTAAACTCCGCTTGATGGCGGCTGGGCAAAGCCGGAAAAACCCAGGATGTCAGTCTAGCATTTACATGCTTTGACGCGTACATGTAGTCTGATGGCCACTGGGTAAAGCCGAAAACTCTAGGATGTTAGCCGATACTGTTTACACACTGTGACGCGTAAACTCGGTCTGATGGCCACTGGGCAGACGCAGGTAGCGCTACGATACAGGTCAAAATAAGTGCCAAAACAAAAAATCGGTTTGTCGCTTTCTCACCTGTCAATGTGGCACTCTGGTCGGTTGGTCAATTGTCGTCTGTCGTATATTTGCAGTGGTGTTTGCTACACGCGTGCTTAGGCGTCACCACTCCAGGTTATAGGTGTTGGCGGGCCATGGCTGACGTAAAGGGTTGAGACGATATTGCATATGTTGGCTTGGATAGGTCGGAAGCAAGTGCAACATGGGCTTGCGTGATTTTGCTAACGACGAGTAGAACAGCCGCAACTCCGGCGCTTACATGTCCACAGGGGTGTTTCTGAGCAGATTCGTAAGATTGCAACGGCACCATTTTACAAAGAACATGCGCTCATCTTTGCCATAACAAGCTTGGCCCCCTAGTGGGGCGTGTGTGTATGTGTGTATTCTAACACAGGGCATGGTTGTTTGCTCATTTTCATGCAACAATGCAGGGGGATGGAGAGGACGTATGAGGCTCCATCCAATGAAGCTCCTCCTCCTCATATGCTCCTTACCAGGGGCGCTTGGTGACGTACCTGCAACCCGTTCATTCTTTTCGACATAGCTCCCAGACTAAGCTCAAACCTGGCTAGCCGATTTCTCATTTCAGAACGAACTTGGGTTTTTCTGTGTTTTGGGGGTTGTGTCTCGTTCGTGCTCGACTACATCATTACCTTCCAACTTGGATACAGCCTCGAAAAGGCCTACCAGGTAGGAAATTGCCAAATCATCTTTCAGTTAAAAAGTAGTTAAAACCTTGCAGAACGAACTACGCACGATTCGACGCGACCAATTTGGCACCAGCTCCAATTCTTAAAACCAGTCCAGTGTGTGAGAGAGAGAGAGAGGGAGTTGCAAAGCATTATACTCTGTTTCAGATCCAAGCGATGTCGAAGAATGGCAAGGCTTTGAAGAATGGATACGAAACAGGCCATTTCGATGTGCATGAGTGGCTGGGTACTTAGAGGTTTGTTGCTTGGAACACATGCTGGAAAAAACAGAATTGAAGCGCCTGGGCAATCAATGCCTGGTGAGGAATCAATACTTGGACATGCGCGCAGCGTGCCTGAGGTTTCGAACCCTTTCGTCTGCAATTGACCTCATGGTACCTCTGGCTTAGCATTGCAATTTTTGATACTGCATAGTGATTTGTATGGATCCGTTTTTTCCACGGCCAAACATCTCGTCTTGCCCGCGCCTGTTGGCCCGCCTTCTTGGTATGAGCTGAAAACGTGGTAAAAAAGAGATATTTTAGTATTATGGTTAACTTGATGTTCTAGATCAGAACGCACAGCATAGGGACCCGTGCGGGTTCGTTCCACGTCGTCGTCGTCATCATCATCATCAACATCATCATCATCATATCATCATATCATCATGTCTTTGTTGATCTTCTCAATTGAATGTAAAGTTTTCCAGGGGTGGGCTTTTTATATGCCCTCATACCTTCGTTGATCTTCCCAATTGAATGTAAAGTTTTCCGGGGGTGGGACTCTTATATGCCCTGATACCTTTGTTGAAGTTTAACGGGGGTGGGACTTTTATATTCCCGACTGCCTTTGTTGATCTTCTTAGTTGAATGAAAAGTTTGATGGGGCTGGGACTTGTATATTGCCTAATGCCTTTGTTGATCTTCCCAATTCAATTGAATGTAAAGTTTGTCTGGGGTGGAACTTTTACATTTCCTACTGCTATACCTTTGTTGATCTTCTCAATTGAATGTAAAGTTTAACGGGGGTGGGACTTTTATATTCCGGACTACCTTTGTTGATCTTCTCAATTGAATGTAAAGTTTTCCAGGGGTGGGACTTTTATATGCCCTCATACTTTTGTTGATCTTCCCAATTGAATGTAAAGTTTTCCGGGGGTGGGACTCTTATATGCCCTGATACCTTTGTTGATCTTCCCAATTGAATCTAAACTTTTCCGGGGGTGAAACTTTATATTCCCTAATACCTTTGTTGATCTTCCCAAGTCAAGAAGGGTGTGTGTGCGACACGGGGTGTTTGCGCATATTTCTACTATGGTTTTGTGATGTTTTGTCGGGCAGAAAAGGTAAACCCAATTCCACATTCAGTGGGCACAGGCAAGTCGGGAGTCAACATTCAAGATGTTACAACAAATCAGCAAGTGATTTTTTAGATGATGATTTCATGAGCGGTATAGCGGCTCGGAGCACCCTGCCAGAGTTTGCTGTCCCCCGGTGTCCCACAGCTTTGTCCATAAAGTATCATAGGCTCATAGGCTATCAGGTCGACATAGGATGCCCTTCAAATGGCCATCAACATCGGCAGCGACACCAGGTAAACTTGGACCAGGCTTTGGCCGCCTTCATCTGTACACAGACTGAGGGTGATTAAAGGTCGAATGAGGGCGAAGGATACGAAGGTAAAGAGAAGAGGCCCAAGGACTGGGTAAGTTCCCGGGTAAGCATGCCACAGAGTGTGCTACAGTAGTATGCCCCAGAATTACAGCCTGCAAGGTCCTGGCACTTACTCAGCAGGACTACTATGAATCTATGTTATAATTACACAATTCTGTGCATTCGTTGTATTGTGTGGTCATATGGAGAGTTGAGATCAACAGACGAAATCAGGATGATGCCATAGATTCCATAGAGGACCTGGAGCTTGCAACAGAATGGCTTGCATTATATAGGATTTTTAATCAGCCGCTGAGACATTTGAGCTGGGAAAGAAGCAAATCTTTGCGTGTTCAATGTCCACTGTGTGGCCATGCACGTTCAAGGTTCGAACCTCAAAGCATTCCATTACAATTCGTTTCCGAACTGCACAGAGCGATAGAAAAAACTCATCTATCCAAGTGTAAATGACCTTGGTCCCGGCGATTAATATTGCTGATTGATGTTGATTGTTTGCATGTGTTTACGATTTTTAAATATTGTTCATGCAGAATCTACGCATGCCTATGGTTGCCTGTTTGTCAATGATGGTTCGAACGACGCACTAGAAATCACGTGGTCAGTGAAACTGTTTTGCATCTCACTGGCCGAGTGGGTATTGTGTACCGATGCGCACCTCTTAGCACATTGACGCTCTAAGCAACCTGGCATAGGAGTGCCAGTTGCTGAGACGGTTTAAAAGAGTGTCACTTGTACATTGAACACAGACTCGAAAGATTCCTTTGGGAATTTTGGGAGCACTTTCTAATTCAAATCTGCCAGGCCACGATGCCGTCTATTGCATTCCTCCTGCAGCAGTATGAGTAGGATATCAGGAATGATATCGGGATGTATTAGAGAATCTCGATATAGTTTTGAAATGTGTTGACCATGTTTGCCTATTCTTATATATTCTTACATGTTGCGTTTCTGTCCAATCATGCCAGACATTATGGAAATCCAGGGGAGAAACACCCATGGATTGCCCAGGACAAGAGTGTTTGAAAGAGGTTCGATTTGGCTTCGGCAAGAGCTCTTCTGAAGCGAACGAGTACAAACGCGACCGCTTCGTACTGCTGGAAATGAAACAATTATGAGTAGACAATTTGTAGATTTTGTAGTGCTGTGGCGAACTTTTAGAGTATGGCATTCTTTTTCGGTCATCCCTGGAGCCAGCAGTCTCTGCAACTTGCAGGGCCTAATTTGATCCTACAGGAGGCGACGAGGGCTTGAAAGAAGGCCATTTGCCAACGCCTTTTTGCCTTCTTGGATCGAGAATTGAGATGGCGGCAGATTTGGCCACTTATGCCATGCATGGCAATGCGGAAAAGGCTGAGAGCACAGGCAAACTCACTATGCTCTCGGATTGCGTTCGATTGCATATTTTGCCGGAGCACTGTAGTACAGCCTCGTGTCAGAGTTTTTCAATGCCATGAATGCCTAATTTTTCAGAACCAGTCCCATCACTGGAAGGCATTTCGGAAACTTATTACAGACCTCATTCGGACAAAGAATCGTTTGACCAAAATGGCCGCAGATACATTCGGAAAGTGTGAAAAAACAGGTCAGTCAGAAGAATTTGGCAGGTTTGCTGATTTTTGAGTCCACGCACGAAGCATCATCACGTCATTTGCTGAGACGAATTGGCTTTAGATTTGAACAAACCAGCTCAGCCGTCAGAATCCATTTGCCGCAGCTGTGAGCACAAGTCCAACAGCTCTACAGTAGATAGTTGTACTCTTGACCTGAAGGGTTACGTAGTATACATTATAAATCATTATAATAAAGACATACCCTTTGACCCCTTTGACCCTTTGCGGCGAAAAGGGTGACATGATAAATCAGTAGTGCACACGAGACCGCCCCAAACATCCCACGCAGATGGTTCGAAGATATATAAACATATTCAAACCAAGTCGGCAAGTTGGCGGTTTCTGGATGACATGCACAAAACAGGCTCTGAAACACTACCTTTCTGTATAAGTATATTTATATTATATTATATTATATATTATTATAGGTTATGTTTTCTTGAGACCAGCTGGTTTTCTACAGATGCAGCTTCGTCTATGCCATATGGTAACTTTATGGTAGGAATCTGTGGTGAGACCCTGTCTCACTCATGATGTTGCTTCAGACCACAACCAAAAAGAGTTAACAAAGAAAAACAGCATTGGCAAAAAGATGTTGGTGAAGGCGAAACAGCTCAGTAGCAGTAGCACATGCGCCACCAACTCTCCAAATGGATGCCCTGGACGTTCTTCTTCCCGAGACAAGGCAGAAGATTGAACCAGCGGGGGGGTTCTTTTAACCAAACCGGAAGATCCGGAAGGCTGCAGTGTTGTTGTTATATGTTGATATTGGTTACTTCATTTTGTTGCCTTAGCTTGCTTTTGTATAAAGCTGAGTACGGCTCCTGCGAAGTGAATGAGTCGCTGCTTTGCAGATCCTTTCAGCCACTTGTTTCCCAAAGTTTGCGAGTGAAACAGCGGCAGTAAAATTTACATAAATGTGCATGATTTTGTAGATGAAATTGATATGGCTTGCATGGCAGTATTGTAGGCTTCACATCCTACGCTGCATTTGTGGTGGCGCTGAGAGCCTCCCAGCGCCGTCCTTGCGAGCACTAGCCTGTGCCAAAAGCTCAGGAACAGAGTTAAACTCGGATTGCAATGTGAAGAATGCAACAGTGAATGTTCAGAATGTATATATCAGAATATTATATAAATATTGTATATGTACTATTTGTATTATGTACTATTTGTATCTATTTGTATCCCTGTGTTTAGGTCGAATTCTCCATGTTGTTCAATGCGGCTTTGCTCCTGACTTCACAACTCACAGATCACGGCAAGCCCTTGGGCTTGGCTCAGGCTTCAAGGGCTTGGTATGGCCTTAGCCTAGCACAAGAGTGCCTTAGCCTAGCAACAGCCAAACGATTCCAAACGTGGTCTCTCAAACGTGCCTAGCTTACTATTTTCTACAATAGTGGTCTCTCACTATAGAGAGATCTCTCTAGTAGCTGTTTGATGCTGCGGAAGCCTGGTTGGAGAAGTCAATGCAAGCAGAATTTTCCCAGGAAGCGCGGCACTACAACGTTTTCATGTTCTGCTTGCAAGGTCTAGTGACTAGTAATGGTAGCTCAACAGTCTTCGATGAAGCAACCTTGAGAGCAGTTCTCTGGAAAGATTTGACACAACAGCGCTTCATGCTTCCAGTGACGAATCCACCTGTTCAATACAGGGTGAACTTGATATTATTAGTCATCACATGTCATGATTATACTACACCGGTACATAGGTAGAATATTTGGACATAGAAGGAAATGGCAGGATGCATACTGTAGCAGCAGTGGCTGCTAGGTCGACACTTGAATCACTTGAATCATTGAACAAGGATTCTGCCCTTTGCTCGACACCTGCATTGCCGATTGCTCACGCCAAAGAATGTGTGTCGGAGACTCAGGCTTGTTTCTGCACTTTGTGCCACTTCGTTGCAGATATGGGAGGGTTTTGAGATGTTTGATCGTGTTCATGAATGGGCAGCACCCAAGGGCAGAACTGCCGTGAATCTGATGAGGCAAGCGATCTGGCGAAGTTTGGCCACCCAGTGAGCCATTGCAAGTGTGGCTTGGCTATGAGTCAAAAAGCTGCAGCGCCGTTGCTACCACTAAGGAGCATTAAGGAGCTATATTATGTTATATTATGTTAAAGTTATGTTAAAGTCGAAGAAATTTCAGAGTCTATACCTCACCATCCCACCATCCACCAATCTTCACCATCCCTGACATCACCAAGGCACAGACTTCTAGACTCGCAGCCTCTGGGTGAAGCTTGGCCACGGATGATGCTGATGCTGGAAGTCTGGTTCATACAAATGCAAATGGCAACAGGTACTACAAAATTCAAACAGCAAAAACTGCAGATGCAAACGACAACAAATACACATGCAAATAGCATCAAATAGCAACAAATACACCTGCAAAAAAAGAGCAAAACAAATCATGTAAATGCAGCACCTGCAACAAATACAAATGCGCATGATATTTGAACCACATTTCGCATACTGTGCTGTCCCCTTTGACCAGCTTCAGCCCTTTGAACTGTTCAGGATCAAGATGTGCTGATCCACTGTTTGCAGATTTGCCTTCATCGTCGGTTTCAACCAGCGATGGATCTTTACTCACAGCTCGAAGAGGCGGACAATGGCAGCCCTGCGGCCCTGGGTTGTACAAAATGCTAGGAAGTTTGACCGGGCGCAATCGTTTGCATCGTTTGCCATTTCCATCTATTTGAACCATTTGAAACCCTTCACAGACTTTCAATGAGCCGCCCCAGAAACATGGCACGTGTTGGCCCTTAGAGGCAGCAAATCTGGAGACTTGGATGCGACAATTGCGGAATTTCAGACTGACGCAGTTTCCTCCTGCAGCTGGCCCTGGCGATGCTCCACCTCCAGCCTCTCATTGAATTCGCTGTATGAACGTGAATAGCTATGGGGCTATGGGATGATTTGAGATGATTTAGATTGCTTTAGATGCTTTAGTATGACATGGGGCTTTCAGTATGTGTTACATTTTAATCCTATCTGTACTGTTGAGCCTGTGGTCCTTGATGCTGTTGAAATGGACCTTTGTCACACCAACGGTAGCCTTCCGGAAAGCCCAGGGGAGTTCACAAGGAAGCGATTTTCAATTCTGAGTCCTGCGACCTGCTTCAGGTTCATGTGTGTACACCCTTTCCAGAGGTGAGTTGTGGTACTTGTAAGGTGTCTTTGCAGTGTTTGGTCTGCAGTAGCCCCCACAGGAGGTATGTATTTTTCCATCCGCTACTTCACCAGCATCTCACCATATGGAACCACTTCCGTACTGCCTACCATTCCTTATCTGAGCCGAGTCTTGGTGTGCAGCTGCAGCAGCTCTACCAGATGGACGCTTGTGTGTTGTTGGTGGCGGTTGCTATAGCTGCTGTGTCAGCACACACTGTCAAAAGGTCTAAGGGCAGTTTATTGTCGGCAAAAAAAATAAAAATTAAAACGATAATCCACTTCCAGATTGTTGACTTTGGACCTGCTGGGCTCACTCTGCTATGTTCTATATGGACGGATCTTTCCAGAAGGGTTGCGCACTCACTAGCAGTGATATTGTTCAACATAGAGCTGCGCAGGCAGCAAGGCGAGATATACACTTTGGACGAGGCTTGCCCCCCAAAAGGTATGCAAGGGTTGGGCTTTGAACAGAAGTGTCATTGTGCTCCTAGAAGCTATAGATGATAGATTCTTGTTTTAGGTGACATGGGTGTTGGGGGCCCACCAACGTTCGTGATTTTTTGCAGAGGAATCTTGTACCGCCCCTAAAAACAGCATATGCACTGGGTGAGGTGGGGTGGGGCAGTACCATTCATGTACATGTGCACGTCAATAATGCTCATAAGACTCGTAAGTCACATGTTCACTCATGTGCTTCCAACGGATGTGATCTCTGATTGTTGTCATTGTGGGGTGGAGCTTGCGTTCGTGCAGATCAATGAAGCTCATACGTCACATGTTCTTCCAACGCCCTTCATAGATGCATACGCCTTGCATGAGAGGTGGGGTTGCAATGGGGTGCGGCACTAATGTTTATGTACATGTGCACATCAATGATGCTCACACGTAACATGTTCTTCCAGCGCCTTGAATAGATGCAGACTCACGTGGGTGGGGTGGGGCAGCAACTTTCGTGTACATGTGCACATCAATGTCGCTCGTGCGTCACATGTTCTTCCAACGGGCGTGCATGTTGGATAGGTTGCCACAATGTGTACATCAATAATCATCAATATACATCATCAGTGTCAGGGGCCGGTATGTTGCAAAGGTACACTGATCAAGTGGAACTCAGCTCATAGACCAGTGGGGGTCAGGCCACAACAAGACAGCATGGCTGGGAACCTCACAACCGCTAGGATTGGGAAGGAGGATCCCTCTTGTTGTGAAGCGTTTTGTGATGCAGGTTGAGCATGTTTTGTTAGCCCGCCCGCCCTCGCCAGGAAGGATGTGGATAAGGGTATGAGAAAGGGCTTTGAGCCAGGTATTTGCTTAATTTGCTTAATGGTTGGTCCTCAAGCTGGGCCTGTTTGTGTGGTGCCCCAGCCAGCACTGCTGGTGTCCCCAGCTTGCTGGCCTGGGGCATCTTGAATTTGTGCCGCCAGCCGCGCCTGCACCTCCCTTAAGGTTTAGGGGTTATTTTTTGTGGCTGGCTTCCACAAGCAAAGGGATTATATAGTTGAATCCTTGAATGTGGGATCCCCTCTTTCAGTATTTGCATAGAGATGTCAGCAACACAGCCTGAGCGCAAAAGAACTGCGGCCCCATGCGGCCCCTTTTTCCCGAACTTCATGAGCCAAATCCTTGCATCGTCTTGGAAAACGCAATGAATCGTGTCATGTCCTTGTTACCTTGTTTTATCATATTATAATTATAGCTAGAACATGCAGAGTGACAGTGAAGCCTATGACTTTGACCTACAAGCCTTGGAAGTTTTGTGTTTGGGTTTGATGCTTGCATTCCTATCATGAGGTTACGAATGGACAAATGTCCAGTCAAATATGAAGGAAGTTTTTTGGAACCAACCTGGTCTCTACGTTTTCGATATATCTTCAGTGCAGTGGTCTCGCCAAGCAACAACTGGCAACTTGACCTGACCTCAGATCCCTTTTCACAAGGTCCAATGTAATATGCGCCGATATACCAAAGGCATAGGCAGATAAAAGATATAGATACAGAACTAAGTTTGGCGAGCGAACCCTTCCGAAAGGCCGCTCATTTTGTGGCCCACTTTGGAATCCCATTTGAAATCATTTGAATTTGTCCTTGTGTTAGGGAAGCCAGTTGCAGCACAGGCACACTGCCACCTCCTGCGCACACTTATGCTTCAGCCCACACAGTGTTGGACTCTCGCTGGATGTTTTGGTGTGGAGGCTACTATGGCCAGGCCAAAGCGTGTTTCCCTCAAACTGCAGCAATGCAGGACACATCAGGACACTATTTTCATCGCGTTTTGAGTTTTGAGAATAGATATTACACGCGGGAGATTCGAAACGACATGCTGCATCTGCATCATGTGATGTCACTGGGGAGCAAATGGTAGCGAAAACGGATCTACCACGTGCAGGCCTACAATACAGCTTATGCCCTGGACATTGGCACATGGGAGTGGAGAGCCCTTCGAAACAGCTTGAGTCTAAGTTCGACCCCAGCATACCTCGGAAAGCAAAAACACGCTTGATTTCACGACATGTGTGCAAACCACAAAAGAATACAAAAGATGTAAGTTTGCAAACTGATGTCTATGGCCTTTTTTTGGAACTGTCAAGCTGCCAAGCGGGAAGCATTTTCATGAAATTGTTGTTTGTAAATGCCATGTCAATGTGCTGAGTGCTGAAGGTTCTGACCAATGCCCAAGTGCACGGTACTTCGTTGCTTCCTTTGAGCACTTGGGCGCTTTGTATGCTTGGGGTGGGCGCAGCTCACAGTGGCTCACTTGCAGTTCATAGAGATTCTCCTTGGGAATTATTATATAATGTACTATTATATTTTTTGAGTGGGCTTGGGCCATCTTGGGCCCAACGTTTCTTGGAATTTCAGGGGTTCGCGGGGCTCTCTTTACGAGTAGCACGTTTCTGGGACAGTAATAAGGTTTGTGCCTCGTTTGTATATGCGTTTTCGCACTCGTTTGTACACGCGCTATTCTGACTCGTCCCTGCACGCGAGGGTTCTCCAGTCTTAGATCATACATTGTCATTTCTATCTACTTTACCCTACTTTAGTGATCTTTAGTGCACTCTCTTCCACCTTATTCATGACCAGTGTGCAGTGCCTGTGTGTGTGGAAATGCACGTGCACGTTATTAGCACACCACCCCAAACACAACCCCGACCATATGATCAGCGTGCAGTGCCTGTGTCTGCAAGTGAACATGAACGTTGTTGGCACCCCACCCCACCCCGACCCCACACCAACCGAAACCCCATATGCTCAGTGTACAGTGCCTGTATTTGCAAGTGAACATCAACGCTGTTAGCACCCCACCCACCCCAACTCCCACCCAAGACATGATCAGTGTGCAGTGCCTGTGTGGTGTGCATGAGTTAAAGAACATTATTGGCACCCCACCCCAACCCCAACCCCGATCGCACCCCAAACCTGTGTGTACAGATGAGTCAAATTTGCGTGCGCAGATGAGTCAAAAAAGGGGTAAAAAGAGTGCGCGCAGATGAGTCAAATCTGAGTGCGCAGATGAGTTCCTGACCCAGTAAATACCCCCCCAAAGAAAAGTGATCCCCCAAGTAAGCCCTGAAGCGCTTGCACCTTCCCGGCGTAAGCATGTTAGTCCTGTTTCATTAGTCTAGTTCTATGCTGTCGGGGTTTAACGTCACTCCCAATGCCCAACAACGATCATAAGGGGTAAAATGACGGTAACGACCATATATTAGGTTAAGCCCGCCACTGCTACAGTGCCAAGCAAGAATCACCAAGGATGTGCGAGGATTTGCCGGGATGCATAGGGTGTATGAGGTGTATGCGTATATTCAGATGTACCTGCAAAGCCTGGCCTCGGTGAAAAGAACAGGTTTAGTCACTGACATGAAAGGAAAATAATAAATAAAATAAATAAAAATAATAATAAATCATGTTGACAGATTTGATCGGCCACCTTCTGAGCTCATGCACCCTCTTCTTGCTTTTGATTGCTTGGCGCTTGACCCCCTTGAGATTCAATGCTTTTTGGCTGAATTCTAAAAGATCTAAAAGAGATATTCAGATGACTCTATTTGATTCCAAGTGAGATGAGCTGCAAGGGACAAATACTGCAATGACTTATGGCGGCTTGACCGATCACGAGCCCAACAGGACTCGCATGTTTTGTCTCGGCCACGGCATTTGGCAAAAGCTATTTGTGTATGGGCTGAAAACAGGTTTGCAGCTGCTTTGCTGCCAACTAGTTTGTGCAGGATATTGTCCACACAGAGGAAGTGGTGGCAAGCGGAAGTCTCCCTCCTGCGCGGTTTGGATCGATGCTTGAAAGTGATTAAGCAGGAAAGACGAGATGAGTAGCCGAAATACCTGGTGTTCTTTATCGTTCTTCCACAAGAAGTTTGCATCCCCTTGGGCTGTTGCACTGGAACGGAGTCAGCAACCAAGAGTCAACACGCGCGTTCCCCGACGGACACTGCTGCAACATTCAACAGTAGATTGATGAATGTTGTATCCTTTCCGCGGACTTGTGCCCTGGCAGTTCCGCTGTCACATTGAGGACCCTGACGAATTGCAGCTTGGATGCATCACAAGATGCGAGATGGTTGTGGCATGGCAGGGCATGATCTTTATATCAGCGTTATTCAGCGACTCTAGTTGAGGTGATGACCGCTTCGCTTTACTTTTTGGGGGTGGCCAATGGAAGACTGGCGGCAGATTCCTCTCGGACCCGGTTTTGACAGTATCCTATTTTTTGTGCGGCGTTACAGTGTGAGTTCAATATGTTCAATGTTCATTACATTACTTCTCTGATTTTTGCAGCTGCCGGGAAGGACAGCACTATCTATTCCTTGAATTTGCGTGCCTTTGAGTGGAGCCGCCTTCACACCACTGGGTTAGATCCCATGCTCCTTGGAGCCAAACTTCTGTTTCCAGTCAGTGCTTGTGTCAGTGCGAACTCTGCCCCAAACTAAAGGCCTCGCCTTCAGCATTCGGCAGTCAATCTGGGTGGAAATCTGGCTTCTTTGCAGCACTGGGGAAAGGAGGACACGCAAGACTCTGGACTGATAGACTACCGTTGTTTATGTTCTTTTGGCCTTTGCCTGAGACAAGTGCCATGCAGAGCAATGATCTAGCATGTTGCGGTACGATGTGGCACCCCACTTCAGCTTCACAGCACAATTTTTGCGGAAGGCCAGGGTTTCACATCAGTCTTTTGGATTTGCTGCATGGTAATCATATGATTAAGTCATTGACATGTTGTCAGTCCTGAGCTGCCTGAGTTCTTCTAGTCTTGTCTAATGAGGTGTACCATTTTCCTTGAAGCACTGACACCCACACAGGTTCTGATCTTCGGAGGGTACGAGGCCAGTGAGCGAAGATGCTTTGGCAAGAACGATTCAAGATAAGTTGAGAGATTTTGAAACCATACCGTCTAGCATTGTCCAGACCTCATGCACCGCCCCAGCATGTCCAAGATCCCAGGATATCTTGGCTATCCAGACGCCGCTGTCCTCAATGCAAGAAGTCTACAGTGGATGCAGTTGGACAGCGGTCCTTGGTCTGCAGTATTTGTTGTGTTTCTCCGCATGAAATGCTGCGTGATGGGAGCCTTGGTGAAGCTTGCTGTGACAGTGACAGCATGCAGACCAGGCAAACCAGCTGGCAAACTCCTGAGGCAACCGTCTTCGAATCGGTGTTCAAGTGGAGGTGTGGAGGGGAGTGGGGTTCAGGCACATGTAAAGCAAGTGGCAGCAAGTGGCATGACACAGTTTAGGTACCAGAACCATTTTAAAATATTTTAAAGCATACCCTTGATTCATGTTTTACAACCCGCTCTACTCTCTTTGCTTGTGTGCGCAAGTCCTCGCGGCTCGCGCTTGCAGGTCTCTTCCGATGAGGGTGATGACAAAGCCATCGGACTAGTTGTAGACGGACCAGAGCTGTTTAGCACTCAGGCAGTTTCAAGTGGTGCATATTTTGGCACGCTGGGTTGTGATGGGTTGTGGCTGCAGGGTGACTGGAGAACATGAGGTGAGTGAGTTGGAGAGGGTGTACGCAGAGTCAGAGCTAGTTGTAAGTTTCCAAACGAGACTCAGACAACTGAATCGCAGCTGAGGATTCCCCACTGCTCGCAAAATGGATGGTACGTCAAGGCCGACTCTTGTGCGACGATATTTGTGTATGTGTGTGTGTGTGTTTGTGTGTCTCTAGTCACACGCTTGATAATATGTTATACAGTTATACATACCTTTCCTAGAACTGTTCACCATTTTATATGTTCTAATAGATTCTATATTTCGAAATCAAAGTAGGCCCATATCATCCCATATCCCGCGAGCCAACTTCCTTTTTTCAGTGTGGGTCAGGCAGTGGTGAGAACCTGCTTGTCAACCTCTGTTGATTATGTATGATTATGTTGTATGTGATGCTTGCTGTGCTTGATTTATCATCTTAGCATCAATTGATCCATTATACTGACCGGTATTTGTAGCAAATCAACGAGACTAAACATCAATGACACTTTCTCCCACAAAAAAAACTGGAAAAACCTGTTCTATTCTGAGCAGCTGTCCAGCAACATTGCGCAACGATCTCACTGCAAGCGCGTCAAAATATCATCGAAATTAGAGAAGAAGCTGCAAGGTGTTTTTCATACCAGTCCGTGTGTGTGTGTGTGTTTGAAAGCCTTTTGAAAGGTAGTTTGCAAAGAATACACGTAACACAGATCAACACAGAATATTCTTACTTGCGCTGTGGCTGGTTTTAGTCTGTTGGCTTACTGCCTGCTCAATTGTATGGTTGATAGTGAGGGAGCAAGCACCTTTGAGGGTTATGTTTTGAAAGCATGGTTTTGCCGAAAGGTCGGGAGCGAAGTGATGCTAGTTGAGGAGAGGTTGCTGCAGGCTCCATTGACACAAACACGGAGATCTCGCACAGTAGCTACAGCCCTACATAATTCTTGAATTTGAGGACGTTTCTTAAAATGTAAATCAGCTAAGGAGTTTAAGGAGGTCAAGGCAGAAATATAATCAAAGTGTTTGCCTCATTTGTTCAGTAAAGTTTGTTCAGTTGATGCGCTTTGAGGAACGGTTTGGCCTTCCATTGTCCAGGTGCGGCAGCACCTGCAGCGAAGACCAAGGGCACCAATGCATCAGGAGTGCGCGCTCTGATACGTGCACCTCCTATGGCCCTGGAGAGTAAAAACATGTAAAAACGAAGAACAGAAACCTGGAAGGACAAATGCAAAAACAAAAAAGCACGTTCGGGTCAGGTGGTGCGAATCATCAGCTCGAGCGTGTTCAGCAACAGCAATGTGTCTTCCATAAGGTGCACACGGTGCACATTTCATCACATTTCTAAAGCCCATTTGTTTTTGAATATGTTTTGTACTGTTTTGTGCTTGGAGGACGGCGAGCAGCTGCCTGTCACAGCTTCAGATGGGTTTCTTGCTTGCAATCAACATTGATCACAGGCGGTCACGGTTTAGAGATGTTTAGAGACGTTTAGAGACTGAAGAGCAGCAAGAATCTCATGTGAAATATGTAGAGCTCCAAGGAAGAAGTTGCTTGTGAAAGATCAGCGCGCGACCGTTTTTAAGATATGATCCATGCAAAGTTGATTGGTCAAGCTTGATACTCCCAACTGCCCAAGTCGTGGCGAAATCCCAAAAATCTTGAAATTAGCTTGGGGGAAGGCTTTTGTGGAAGTCGTGGCGATGCGGCGTTTAGCTTGTGTTTAGGGTAGGTTGCTGTCTTACTATCTCATGTAGACCTAAAGTGGCTAAGCGGCGTTTAGGTTGTGTTTGGGGTAGGGCGTTGTTTTACTATTAGCATAGTGCTTTAATCTTGCTAGTTGCGTTCTCATTGTGTTTGGGATGGTTGCTGTTGGGTTCTGCAGCTACTGGCGTCTTGCTGTTGCTGCGGCTGCTGGTTCGACGGCTGCTGCTGTTGCTGTTTCCGGGTACTTCTACACAACGCTGGGATTATCATCTCTACACTGCCATGGCGGTGTGCTGGGATTCTGCAAATTGTCATTGTTTCGCTACCAGTGATCCAAGGAAGGGCAGGTTTGCGGCTTGCGGGCCAAAGTCCATGTGTGTAGATGCGGGGCTTTTTCCGTACCTCGTTTTGGACCTCGTTTTTTTCCTTTATCAGAGCCCATCCTGCAGTATACAAACTAGGAAAAGGGCCTGCTTCGCGTTTTTGTTTGTGGGCGTCAACAGTGCCCACGAAAAAAGGCCCGTTCGAAACCGGCGTTCCGATGAGATTCGATCAAAAACGAATAGAACATAATAGAACCATGATAGTTTGGTCAAGGCTTGTTAAAGCTAGCGTTTCCAATGGGGAAAGGGGTTTTGCAAGGTCTGTGCCGGGACAGGGGTCGTGGCGAGCGTTTTGATTGGGAATAGCTGTCAAACGCAAACATTGCAAGGACTTGGGCGTATGGGTGTACTTGATACAGACACAGATGGCACATTGCTGCAGATTGTCGCGGGTAGCTGTATTGTGTCTTGAAATGTTTGGGCAAAACTTGAGGGCCCAAAGAATGGACGAAAGCAACTTTGAAGAGATCCAGGACCTCGAGTTGCAAATTCCTTGAGATGGAAGCGAAGATAAAGTTCACGTGTATCTTGAATAGAAACACGCTTACTTGATTTTACGACTTTTGTGAGGGGATTCTGAAGAACAAACTCTGGAGGTGGCAATGGTTCCCCCTATGCAGCCAGGATGAGCATAGCTGGATGCAAGGATGCTTCCCATGCGGAAGGGCAGGCACAGAAGAATTTGGACAATGTCCAGCACTACTGGTACTATATTTTCTATGGGCGAAGGGTAAGAAACTCCTTGTATTTCTAGGTTTGGAAGCTCGTTATGATCGTTATGACCTGCCATTGGTTGCCAACCCCAGAATCACCACTAGACTCCACTAGACAGGCCATGTCAGTCGCTGGCATTACAGGCATGGCTGTTGCAGAAGCAAAACCTGGTACGCGACGATTCTACATTTTTGGCGGTGCCAGGTGCCCTGCATAATGAAGGTAACAGTGATAAAGTCGGAAGCTGGAGAGAGGGAGAGGGAAAAATGCTGAACATTGTATAGTTAGATAGATGAAACAGACATACTAATATAGTTTAAAATAATTTAATATAATATATAACTTAATTAAATATATAATGTAAAATATAATAAAATATAATATAAAATATAGCTGATATAATATAATATAATTTAATATAATATAATATAATAGTTACTATCATACAATTCATACAATAGAATTACAGAACGTGTAGGAATTTAACGTCTTATGGACATGTATGGATTCATTTAATGTTGTTTTGTTTCTTCATTCGTTGTGAATTGATTTGAGGTACGTGCATCAGGCTTCTTGCTTGCAAATAAGTCGGGCTTGTGATCCAAGAAGATCGCGCACGCATCGTGTGCAATGTCATAGCCCCCTGACATTCTGCCAGGAGTGGTTCTCAGATGTCTTCGAGTTCTCCTTGAAAGGCAGTGCTCCACGAAATGATGGCATGTCAAAGTTGGACTGGTCACAGAATTCTTAAATCTTAGGCCATAAAATTTGCAGCCGTTGCTGCTGTTTCTGGGGCAAAGTCCTCCATTGAGCACATTTCTGATGTGCATCATCATCTCACCGCTGAGCTCAAAGGAAAACTGGAATTGCAATACATGTGTTGCACGATCGCCAAACTAATACATACCAGGCGCCTTTCTCGTATATTCTCGTATCCGAACATCGGCCAAGAAGAGAGTCTTGTTCTGCTGCCATTCACAGATCCTCGTGCACTGGAAAAAAACACAAGGTGTCCACATCACGTTTCCAGTCCATCACTTCCACAGCGCTCTTGCAGTCAAGGCATTCTTGCACAGCATGCCTTCCAATAGACTTGACATCAGCATGTAGCTATGCCTGAGGACATGGTGAAACAACATACCGAGAGAGATCTCTTTTGGGGTTTGGTAAGGGTGGCTGTCCGAGCAAGCAACAGGGAAGCCACTTACCAAGTTGCACGGTGCGAATGGCGTAGGAAGAATGGCGCATTCCCTTGTGCCTTCGCTGCTGCAGGCCCCAAGAACATCCAAGAACTACAATGCAGTGCTAGCAGCAGTGGCAAGCATTCAATTGGTATTTTCATGCATGATCTCCGGTTAATTGCAGTTATCTCTCTCTCTCTATAGTTGCTTGATATTTCAGTTCCATTTTGAGCTTTGCATTCGATTTGTGCCAGAGCTGGCAGGAAAGACGACACCAGCTAATTGACGCCCTTAGCAAATCGCAGCGGACGAGATGTGTTCCAGCGCTGCTTGACTGACTAAGTCAAACATGTGAATAGAAAGCGGTTCGATGATGAACTCGCCCAATTGGCATAGACCACAACAACATTGTTTTTTTATCATGAAGTGAAGCTTGTCTCACCATGTCTCACCTGTCATGACTAGATATCTTGCTACTTTAAATCTGCAATATGGCAGTTGGAAGCACGTTGGAAGCTAGAGACCAAGAGAGATCGTGACGGGGTATCGTCTCACCACCTACACATCCCACTGTGTTCGTTTTGTTATTCTCCATGTTTCCTGCAAGTCTCATAAGCATCTTGCAGATTTGCCTTCAACTTGTCAAGGTTAAAACCAACCAGCAACAGCTTGCGCAGTCAGTCGACACAAGCATCGGTTCTACAGTCAGAGACATATTCATCAAGGCAAGCAGATACGTGGAGCCCAAGGGATGGAACAATCTACCTCGGGGCCGACAGTCCTAGCCATTCGTGTAGCCACAACCTGAGTAGTCTGAGTTGCAGCTGGGAAGATACCAGCGCGCCAAAGCAAACTCAGGCAGCTCGTTTACCTGGGCAGGTGCTTGCAAGCACAAAATCTCGCACCTGTGCCGCCAGCCATTTTCAAGCTTTCAGGCTGAATCTCAAGAGCCGTGAAGGCCGACCTCGCAAGTCCTTTGGGGAAGATCCGCACAAAGAGGGCCAGTTCAGCCAGTGCCAGGGCAGCAAATCGGACAAGTTGGAGGCGGCACCTCGGCTGCCAGGACGTGTGTTGGAGGATACCCTGTCAAGAACCTGTGCGGCAGCTTTCCTCACTCATGAACCTCGCGAACCTCGCAGTGAACAGCGCAGCGAGCCTCGCAGTGAGCTTCGGCCAAAGCCACAGGTGCCCACACAGGCCCCGCCAAAAGGAAAGAAAGAAGTGAATGAGCCACAGCCATCTATGACTCCATGTCCTCGCAGGGGCGAACTACATAGATCTGAGAGCCCAAGACAAAGATGGCCTCTGTCAGCAAGAAAAGAGTCACCAATCAGAACAAAGATCAGCCCACGGTCGAGCAATGCTTTACTGGACACACTCTCATCACAGGAACGCTTGCCACGGCCAACTCTCCCCACTCAGGCTGCAGCTCCTGCTGCCCCCTCCGCTCGCCGGAAGACAATAGCAACAGAACATCCAGCTGTGCGGTCCAGTGGGAAGATGAGACCCACACCGCAAGCCATGCCAGAGAGATCCAGTATGGCATTTGAGCCTCAAGTCACCAGGTATCCTCGCCATACAGTTTCAGAAGCAAGCCAGTCAAGACCAGCAAGCCAAGAGTTAAAACCGCGCGGCTACCCCCAACCAACCTCGCAAAGCGAGCTTGATCGGGAGCTTACAGAGAGCCGTTCAATCCGGGCAGGCACACCAAGTTTGCTTATCCCTCTTCCACTTGGGACAAGCTTACCGTCATGGGCACGGACTGAAGCTGGACTTTCGCCTTCACAAAAGAAATTAGCCCACTCTGCGGCAACACGCCTGCAGAGAGCATTCCGTAAGTGGTGGTTTCGGAACTTCAGCAGTTCAGGGCCAATGGGTTTTCAAGCATTGCGTGATGCAGTGATTTATTTACAGCGCTGGTGGAGGCTGGCACACGCCAGAAAACTTCGGCGTTTGCATCTCAGGCGATGTTGGAAGAGGATGTCTTTTCGAATTTTGGTGCTTCAGGACGCTGCATCGTATGTGCAGCGTGGCTGGCACATGGTCAAAGTACGGCGATTACGGCATGCTGCCCAGCTAGCAGCACAAGTGATCCAGCGTGCTTGGCGCTGCCGTCTCCTCCATCTCCAAAAAGAAAAGCAGAGATATGGAATGGCAAAACTGTGGTCCTGGCATCGTAGATGTGTGGCCAAAAAAAGGCTGATTTCCGGCATCTGGAAGTTCTGGCAGGTACAACATCAAGCGGCTGTGTGTGTCCAGAGTGTGTGGAGAGGTCTTCAGACACGTCAAATGTTTGCAGAGTCAAGGGAAAGGCTTGAAAGAGCTAGAGACCGCAGAGAAATCATTCGGTGGAAAGCCCAACTTCTAGACACCAAGCAGGCAACAGGTTGTCCCAAGCCACCGTCAAAGACTTTCAAATTGAACTCAATGCATGAACACGCCTGTCCCGAGAGAGATGATCAAGATCGATCATGTCAAGATCGTGCCCCATTCCGCCCTTCGGGAGCAGTTGCAGAGGACCTTTTTCAGAAAGCTGCACAGAGCGCAACCCCACGCGATGGAAGAGGCATGCAGTCCCGCAGCAAGCGCCTTTCATACGGGCAAACCAGGGTAGACACTGCAGCTCCACGTTCAGCACGCCCTGTGCCAGGGGGTACAGTATCTATGACAACTTTTCTGGCCTCGCAGAATGCATTGTCACCATCGCATCGCCGGGCACCTTCGGCACAATCTCTGGTTCGTGATTTAACTGCTCGAGGATGCCTGTCAAGTTTGCCTCGGATGTCGCCATTTTCGCCTGAGCTCTCTGGACATTCTGACCTTGAAGCGGTTCGGAATTGGCTTTCAGGCGCTGCTCCCAAGTAAATATATAATCATAATATAATATATCTTAATTAATGATTTTTGATGATGCTTGTTTATGATTGTTTGTACTTGTTTTGCATGCATTGATTGTTGGCAGGAGCACTTCCTTCGTGGAGAATTCTTCAAGTTCTTCGCGTGGAGTGCAGCGGTGCAGCTGCAGCAGCATACAATGGCGTTAGCCGCACCCTCGGACCAGAGCGACTCCTTTGGCATGGCAGCTCGGATGAATCTGCCATGGCAAAAGTTATCACATGATATGACATGCGAGGGGTGTCTTGTGATTATGTAGATGGAACAGATCCGAGCCAGGCTATGCAACTACCAGGGATTCTTCATATTACATCATCAACATCAACCTATAAAAATACAATGAAAATCAGATAAGATAAGAGAAGTAGTCGTGCGCCATTTCAATCGATGATACCTTCACGGCATGTTTTCTTCTGGTGCATGCGACCACATCATGCATGTCGACCATATTTTTTGAACGGAATGGTATAGACGGGCATGGCGAACACCAGATCCCGGCACATAAGGTCAATGTAGCATCATGTATCACAATGTCAATGTGCATTGTTGATTCAGCACTTTTTATGGTGTTGTCATGGGCATAGTGCCATCGAAAACACAGTTTGGTGCAATGTTCGGCCAGGCACGTCATGGGACTGTGTGGCAAACATTGCTCAGAACGGCTTCAACCGGGCATACGGTGGCCGGCATGGGTCAAAGCTGGGACGAGGCAAGTACATCCAATGAGTGCAGCAATGAATGTCCATAATTACTTGTCGCTGCATTTCACAGTCTGCAACAAAGTCCAGAAGAAGTCTCTTCTTGTTCTTGACAGACTGCCAGCCTGCAATCATGTGGATTTGCGCGGCCATTTGCATGGTTCAATCAGAGCATTTCGCACATTGATGGGGTGCTTGCTGTCAATAGTGTTGGTTTATGATTTGGATTGAACTTGAAGCCGGGGTGCTAGACTACAAACATGAACATGATGCATGTTTCACTTATGAAGATGGTCAATGTCAACAAGCTAGTCAGTCACATCTCTCGGCCATGGCATGGTGCTCTGTTTGGACGCTGCTTCACTTCGTTCTCGCTTACATATCAGGTTTGTTCACAATGATCCTGTGCAGTGTGTTCACTGATTGCAGCGTCAGCTACAAAGATCTAGCAAGGTATACTGTGCTCTCGGTTCCTGACCAGGAACAATCCCAACCGGAGATAGCCAGAAATCCAACTGATTCCTCCGAAAATGAGAGCAAACAAGCGGAGACAAGATCAGCCAATGCAAAGGCGGAGGTTGAAACCCATGATGCTCCCGCAAAAGTTGCACCTGAGGTGCCTCGGGTGTCTCCCAATTTGGTGAATGCAGAGGCCCGAATACAACATCCAGGGCCCTACGGCTTGAAGTTCATTCACATCAGCAAAACTGGCGGGACCACTGTCGAGGAAATTGGTCAAAGGCTTCCTGAGAAACTGAATTGGGGAATGTATGACCGATCTTTCTATGGTTATCAGCACAATCGTTTCAGGCATCTCGCTGTCAAGAAGCGTCGCCAGTATGATTGGTTTCTGATTGTGCGAGATCCCATCGACCGCTTTGTCTCAGAGTATCATTGCGGCCTTGAAGGGGTGAATTATATGACTGCTCTGTACCATACAGACAAAGACTTCAACGACTGGTTACAGCTCCGTCTCAGGAAGGGGGAGACGAGCGGGGGTCACTTCATTCCTATGAGTGACTAGTTGGACCCAGACCCTTCGGTGACACAACATATCATCCGCTTTGAGAACTTTGAAGCTGACTTGCGTCATGTACTTGGGCTTTACAATATCACGCTCGATAAGAAATATAAGAAGATCCCCAAGCGCAACAATGGGCAGAAACGTTTTTTTGGCAGAAAAAATATGAGCGAAGAGACCCTGGCACACATACGGTATTTCTATGCCAGTGACTTCCTGAACTTTGGCTATCCAATGCCCTGAAGTTTGTGAAAACCGCTGAAAGGATCTCAGGACCCCATGTAGCCTGGTAGCATGACAAAGTGGTGATGCACTTAACACATGCACGAATTGACGCTTCCGAGAAGATGGCAAAACTCCTTTGTCTTATAGCAAAATGGAGATCTGGGAGAACATGATACCCAGCCTGATCAGCCAACATCCTTGCAGCACAGCTGACGGCTGAATGGCTTCACCGAGATTGAAAAATGATTCCCGCGTTGCCGCTGCATGTGCTACACGCATCTACACGCCATTGTTGACGTTGGCTCTAAAATAATGTTCAAACCTACATTGAATGAACACAAAAGCAAACAGCACGGCCAGCATTGATAAGAACATGTGCCTCTTGAGACTCTTCAGGCAGCTACTTTGCAGAGGAGGCCACTTTTGCTTTACGCTTCTGCGGGCGGAGCCAGCACCGGGCTATCTTTCTTGCAGGCCCTTGCTGACTGCATGTGTTTTGTCTTTTTGGGTTTTTGTCGGTTCATTCTCAGTGGTGTTCTCATGTGGCATTGCTTGTGTTCGTTGTCCTCTGCGCATTTGAAGTGGACGCGCTCAACTCATACAACTCATAAAACCTTGGCAATTGCCAAATAAAGCTTGTTCCGCCAGACTTTGCACATTTTCTATTCCGCTGCCGTGTAGGTGTTTTGCCGGGGCGCTTTTGCCGTGGTGCGGAAGGTTTGGTGGAGCCACCTGCGCTGGATGCAGGTAGCTGGCTTGCACCAAGTGCAGGCACTGGAATCCTTTCAAACTGGAATGGAAAGGCAGCATAAGCATTGCATAAGCTACATGAACCTTTTGAATCCTTTTTAGTATCAGTCCAACTTATATAGTGTAAGTTTCTTGAGTCTTCAAAAGATACCTTATGCCGGTGCCGCAAGTAGCACCATGTGTGACTGTGTGAGTCTGTGTGACCTTTTGCCTGCCTCGCTCCAAAGCCTTCGAAGAACCTCTTAGTGGCGTGCGTAATTGATGACCCTATATGATCTTATATGATCCTGGATGATCCTGGATGATCCTGGGTGATCCTGGATCCTTGTTTTGCTGAGCCAGTTGTCAATTTTGGCCACGCTGTGATTGAGGTACCAGATACGACTCTACAGTTGACGATCCAGCAAATCCCAAGGCCGCTTGGAGAGGAAAGGTTTCGAACATTTTGGAAAGGTGTCTTAACAGGAATTTCACATAAGTTTGATTAGTTTTGTGTTGCCTATTTCCTTTTTCAGGTGTTCTGCGTCTTCCGCGACTTCCAGGCAATCCCATTGTACCTTGCTGAAGTTGCATCAAGTTGACAGCTGCCATGCCATTATGGCATTGTCCCAGCTTTCTACAATTTGGTGCAAGCTGGAAGATAGATGCAGTCTTATTTTTCTTTGATTTGTGCATGACATTGAATTAATCAATGGAATTATTCATTGATTATTTGCTTTAAAAAGGCTTCTTTATGATACATGGCCCATGGCATATTCCCCTGCACATGTTTTTTATTTTTTCCCAATAGATTTATATAGATTATATAGTGTGTTTTGTTAAATTAGTTCTAATTTTACTATATACGTATATATTCAAATCAAAAAATTGACATAAACCTCCTTGTATTTTTTAAATCCATATATATTTAATTGCCTTCGGCAAGCCCGCCGGCCATAAGCTCCTGTGTGTAAAAGCTTCTGTGTGTAAAAGCGTCTCTGTGTGTAAAAGGTTCTGTGTGTAAAAGTGTCTGCGAGTAAAAGCTTCTGTGTGTAAAAGCTTCTGTGTGCAAAAGCTTCCGTGTGTCAAAGCTTCTGTGTGTAAAAGCTTCTGAGGAGTCGAAGTGGGAGTAGGCGTAGGAGTGGGAGTAGGAGCGGTAGTGGTAGTGGTGGTAGTAGTAGTAGTAGTCGTCGTCGTCGTCGTAGTAGTAGTACTACTACTACTACGACGACTACTACTACTACGACGACTACTACTACTACTAGTACTAGTACTAGTACTAGTACTAGTAGTACATAGTACATAGTACATAGTACATAGTACTAGCACATGTAGGGGGAGGGGGGGTTGACTTTGATTCAGACGAAGCAAAAACGCGGGGCAAGAGAACAAAGGAACAAGTACAAGCCAAGAACAGAAACAAGAACAACGCCTTCCAAGCAGACACGCCGCAGGCCGGTGGATTTTCGAAATAGTAAAATGCATAGTGGTTTAATTTTATATATATATATATTTTTAAAAAAAAAAAACAAAGTTCAATTCTTTCAAAATTTCATTGCATATCAAATTATATTCCTATTATCTTACTGTGGCGCGTCCCTAAAAATTATATAGGTTAAAATGCAGGTTTTGGAAATCCTGTTGTTAGGGGCTCAGGGACTCCCGGACTCCCTCGAGTGCAAAGTCCTGTGTATGTATGTGTATATATATATATGTGTGTGTGTGTGATATCCAGCCCTCCCAGGCCCCCCCTCCCACCCCCCCAAAGGGTATGGGTCTACAAGTCCAGGGGTAGAGATGACCCCCGCCCCCTGAGGGTGGGTGGGGGGCTATGTCAGTACCCCGGTATTTGAGGCCCAGAGTCGCAGCGAAAAAGTGCCCAACGTCCCTTCTGAAACCGAGAGAAAAGAAGGAGAAGACGCAATGCAATAAAAAGAGGAAGACAGAATGTAGTATATATAATATATAAGATAAATGTAGCATATAGAGTATACCAGCTGCTGCTGCTGCTGCTGCTGCTGCCGCTGCTGCTGCTTGCCAAAACCTTGCTGCTTGCCAAAACCTTGCTGCTTGCCAAAGCAGCAAAAGCAGCTCCCGACAGCAAAACACCATGGCCTTGAAGGGCGGACAAACTCGGAATCGCAGCGAAAAAAGTGCCTACCATCCCTCCTGAAACCGACAGAAAAGAAGAAGACGGAATGTAGTAAAAAGAGCGTCGTAGTAGTAGCAGTCGCAGTGGCAGTGGCAGTAGCAGCAGCAGCAGCAGCAGTAGTAGTAGTAGCAGCAGTAGCAGTAGCAGTAGCAGTAGCAGTAGCAGTAGCAGTAGTAGTAGTAGTTGCTGTTATAGTAGAATTAGAAGTAGAAGTAGTAGTGGTAGTGGTAGTGGTAGTAGTAGTCGTCGTCGTCGTAGCTGTTGTTGTTGTTGTAGTTGTAGAAAACATTGCTTGAAGAGCGTTTGTCATAAACTGTTCCTCACGTCCCTTCCAAAACCAAAAGAAAAGAAAGAATGTATACTACCAGCTGCTGCCGCTGCTGCTGCTGCCTCGCTGCTTGTCAAAACAGCAAAAGCAGCTCTCGACGGCAAAACACCATGGCCCTGAAGGACGGACAAGCCCAGAATCGCAGCGAAAAAGTGCCTAACGTCCCTTCTGAAACAGAGAGAAAAGAAGAAGAAAGAAGACGGAATGTAGTAAAAAGACCGTCGTCGTCGTCGCCGCCGCCGCCGCCATCGCCGGCGTCCTCGTCCTCCTCGTCCTCGTCCTCCTCGTCCTCCTCGTCCTCCTCGTCCTCCTCGTCCTCCTCGTCCTCGTCCTCGTCGTCCTCGTCCTCGTCGTCCTCGTCCTCGTCGTCCTCGTCCTCGTCCTCGTCCTCCTCGTCCTCGTTCTAAGTAGTAGTAATCCCTTAGTAGTGATCCCTTAACCCCCCGTAGTAGTACTAGTAGTAGTACTAGTAGTAGACCCCAGAGCACAAGCCTGCACCATTGCCACTACTCTGCATGCAAAAGCAGACAACCTGCCACAGAAGAAGCATGCAGGCAATGCATATGCGCTACAGGCATAAACAGTGCCCAGCCTCCAGCAAGGATCCAGATCACAATCGAAGTACAACAGTGTCACTAGGAAGCACTATCATGCAACCGCTGTCACAAGAGTGCTGTCATAACAGTGCTGTCATCCACCTCATGCATGCCATCTGAATCACATGTCAGTTGCAAGTGTTGTTATGCAACTGCTGTGATGCAACTGATGTGATGCAACTGCTGTCATGCAAGTGCTGCAAGCTGTTGCTTACCAATACAAACTGCTAAGATACACATGATGCAATTCTGCTCAAACACATGATCCGTTCCACCAGACAACTTGCTTTGACTTGATCTTGCTTGACCCAGGACCCAGCAAAGCAAGCCATCAACTCAAATTCTACATACATGATTTTGTATTCTATCTGGCTTCTCATCTGCTGTTCTTTGTCCATATGTTCTAATCCATTTGACTGGCAAACTTCTTTCGAACGTTCTATCCTGCATATCTTCTGGCACACTTTCTGCCAATCTATGTGGCATATCTTCTGGCATTCAATCTGGCATTCTCTCTCGCATATCTTCTAACATTCTATCTGGCATAGCTTTTTGCATTCTATCTGGCATATCTCATGGCATTTTATCTGACATATCTTCTAGCATTCTGTCTGGCATATCTTCTGGCATTCTATTTGGCATATCTTCTGGCATATTATCTGGCAAATCTTCTGTGATTCTATCTGACATTTTATCTGGCATTCTATCTGGCATACCTTCTGGCATTCTATCTGGCATACCTTCTGGCATTCTATCTGGCATATCTCATGGCATTTTATCTGGCATGTCTTCTGGCATTCTGTCTGGCATATCTTCTAGCATTCTATCTGGCATATCTTCTGGCATTCTATCTGGCATATCTTCTGGCATATTATTTGGCAAATCTGCTGGCATTCTATCTGGCCGTTGAGGTCCAGCAGTGCACACTGAGCTGGGCAGGTCCCCGGTTGAGGTCCAGCGGTGCACACTGCGCTGGGCAGCTCCCAGGTTGAGGTCCAGCAGTGCACACTGCGCTGGGCAGCTCCCAGGTTGAGGTCCAGCGGTGCACACTGAGCTAGGCAGCTCGCAGGTTGAGGTCCAGCGGTGCACACTGAGCTAGGCAGCTCGCAGGTTGAGGTCCAGCGGTGCACACTGAGCTGGGCAGGTCCCAGGTTGAGGTCCAGCGGTGCACACTGAGCTGGGAAAGTCCCAGGTTGAGGTCCAGCAGTGCACACTGAGCTGGGAAGGTCCCAGGTTGAGGTCCAGCAGCGCGCACTGAGCTCGGAAGTTGGCGAAGAGCTTGGCGAAGAGTTGGCAAGGCGGAAGTAGAGGTGGAAGTTAATACAGACATGGTTGAGCAGAAACTGGAGGAGGAGGCGGAGGAGGAAAAGGAGAAGAGCTAGCCGAGGAGGAGAAGAATAATTCTGATAAAATCTAACAACCCTCACCTGGCAGGTGGGGAATTAAGCCCGATACTTTGCCATTTGGGTTATTGACAAATGTTTTTTTGATCGTTGGGCGTATTTGTTGCTTATCGTATGAATCAGCATTTTTTGTTGCCTTCCGCTCAGGTCTGGAGAATCTCACTTTCTTTTTTTAAACTTTTGAGTACGTTCGAATCTTTCCATTCTTCTGTAACCGTAAGGCCCGTAAGGCCTGTAGAGCCCGTAAGGCCCGTAGGGCCCGTAAGGCCCATAGAACCCGTAGATCCCGTAGAGCCCGTAAGGCCCGTAAGGCCCGTAAGGCCCGTAAGGCCCGTAGAGCCCGTAGAGCCCATAGAGCCCGTAGAGCCCGGAGAGCCCGTAGAGCCCGTAGAGCCCGTGGAGCCCGTTGTCGTTCAGAAGGGCTCTTCTCTTGCATGTTACTTGAAGAAGAGTTTTCAACGTATCAGGAACGTCTTGGAAGTTACTTGGAGAAGATGTTACAACGTATCAGGAACGTCTTGCAAGTGACTTGACAAAGATGTTAGAACATATCAGGAACATCTTGTAAATTACTTGACGAAGATGTTTCGCCGTATCAGGAACGTTTTGCAAGTTACTTCAAGAAGATGTTACAACGTATCAGGAGCGTCTTGCAAGTCACTTGACGAAGATGTTACGACGTAGCAGGAACATCTTGCCTGTGTGTGCACAGGAACATGAACGTAATTACCCCACCCCACCCCACTGGTAACTGATAATGAAAGAACAGTGCAGTGCCTGTGTTTGCAGGACAGCAAGAAAGATGATGAGGTTGCTGTCCCCGTGTCCCCAAGTGCTACCCTAAAGGTATGATTTTCTGGTGCTCTAAGTGATCCCATGGTGCTCTAAGTGATCCGGTGCTCCAAGTGATCCACTTTCGGGTGCTCTAAGTGATCCCTTAACCCCCCGTACTAGTATTAGTAGTAGTACTAGCAATAGTACTAGTAGTAGTACTAGTAATAGTGCTAGTAGTAGTACAATAGTATTAGTAGTAGTACTAGTAGTAGTATTAGCAGTAGTACTAGTAGTAGTACTAGTAGTAGTACTACAGTAGTAGTACTACTAGTAG